GGCCCATTCCAAATCATCCACATGATCACGCCAGTAACCGCGCACCTACTGTTACCGACCGACTGGTACATCAGCCCATCGTTCCACGTCAGCCTTGTTAAAATATATTTCTTATATAAACTGCTTGTAGCAGTAGTTAGTGTAGTGTTACATTGTTTGGTGGTGCACCTTGCTTGCTTTGCCTATATCCTTGTACCCTCTCTTCATTGAACCTCACCTTTTTCTCCTCACTAAACTCTCTCAACCTTCTGGCCTAGGCTACTAAGCCTAGGCCCTAATACTCCATTCTCTCAACATGGTATTCAGAGCAGGTACCTTCCAGTTGCCTTCCTTAACGGGCCCACCAATTTGCTTCCGCTTCCTATCGTCCTGCCGTGCGTCTCGGGCGCGCGGCATGGCGCACGGCGATTTTCTGCCCGCCGTGTGCTCGGGGCGCACGGCGGTTTTCTGCCCGCCGTGCGCCCTGGGCGCGCGGCGTCTTCCTGCCCCGCGCACGGCCTGCCCTCACGTTGCTTGCGCGCCTGCCTCACGTCCACGCGCGGGCCTGATTTGACCGCCAGTACCCTCCACTTCGCGGCGCCCTGCGAGGCGCCGCTCTTGCTCGTCGCGACGCACCTGCGGGACTCGGGCGTCGCCGCTCCTGCTCGTCGCGACACCCCTATAGGACCCGCGCAGCGTCGCCCTGCTCGTCGTGACGCCCCTGCGGGACCCGCGGGGCGTCGCCACTGCTCGTCGCGGCGCCCCCTGGACGCCGCCCCTGCTCGTCACGGCGCCCCTGGGGCATCGCCCTTGCTCGTCGCGGCGCCCCTTGGGCGCCGTCCCTGCTCGTCGCGGCGCCCTCCCCCCTGGCCACCGCCTCTGCCATGCACCAGCGCCGCCCCTGGAGCAGCTGCCTCTGGACCCTGGACCAGCCGCCGCCGCCCCTGGAGCAGCCGCCCTTGGACCCAGAGCAGCCGCCCTTGGCCCCTGGAGCAGCCGCCCCCGGTGCAGCCGCCCCAGGACCTCTGCAGCCGCCCTTGGCCCCTGTTGGAGCCGCCCCTGGACCCAGAGCACCCGCCCCTGGCCCCTGGAGCAGCTGCCCTTGGTGAAGCCGTCCCTGGACCTCAGTAGCCGCCCCTGGACCCGGGGCTCCAACCCTGCAGCAGCCCTCAATGCCGCCCCAGGGACCCCGCGAGCCGCCCCAGCAGCAGCCCACAGCGCCGACCCTGCAGCTGCATGCGCCGCCGCTCCTGGACTCGGTACGGCTGCCTCCCTGTGCTGCCTGTTGCTGCCCGTGCCTGTGCTGCCTGTTGCCGCCCGTTGCTGCCTGTGCCTGTGCTGCCCGTTGCTGCCTGTTACTGCCCGTGCCTGTGCTGCCCGTTGCCGCCTGTTGCTGCCCGTGCCTGTGCTGCCCGTTGCCGCCCGTTGCTGCCCGTGCTTGCGCTGCCCGTTGCCGCCCGTTGCTGCCCGTGCCTGTGCTGCCCGTTGCCGCCCATTGCTGCCCGTGCCTGTGCTGCCTGTTGCCGCCCGTTGCTGCCCGTGCCTGTGCTGCCTGTTGCCGCCCGTTGCTGCCTGTGCCTGTGCTGCCTGTTGCTGCCTGTTGCTGCCCGTGCCTGTGCTGCCCGTTGCCGCCCGTTGCTGCCCGTGCCTGTGCTGACCGTTGCCGCCTGTTGCTGCTCGTGCCTGTGCTGCCCGTTGCCGCCCGTTGCTGCCCGTGCCTGTGCTGCCCGTTGCCGCCCGTTGCTGCCCGTGCCTGTGCTGCCTGTTGCCGCCCGTTGCTGCCCGTGCCTGTGCTGCCTGTTGCCACCCGTTGCTGCCCGTGCCTGTGCTGCCCGTTGCCGCCCGTTGCTGCCCGTGCCTTTGCTGCCCGTCGCCGCCCGTTGCTGCCCGTTGCCGCCTGTTGCTGCCCCTCCTCTGCTCCGCGCTGTTGCCCTGCACGCGCGGCTGCCCTGCCCGTGCCTATGCTGCCCCTGCTCTTCCCCCTCCCCCTTCTTCGTCTCCCTGCTGCGCGTGCAGCCGTGGAACGGAGGCTATGCGGGTGGCGGGTATGGGGGTGATGGGTGTGTGTGATCCCCTTCCCCTCCTCCTCCTTTCTCTCCCACTGCTGCAACTGCTGCTGGGGGGGGGGTGGGTGTGAGGGTATGGGGGAGTTGGGGGAGAGGTGCTAGGGTTGTCGAGGAGTGTGGAAGGGGGATTTGGAGGACTGGGGAAGGTTCCAGGAAGCAGCCGCCTTGGAGCCAGCAGCTTCACCTGCCAGCAGCTTCTCCTCATATAGTCCCTCCTCCTCACTTGCCCTCTCCTTATGCTGCGCTTGGTGTACCCCTTCAGGGGGTGTCTCTGCATTAGCTTCCTGCTACAAGCAGTTTAGGGGATGTGTTAAAATATATATCTTATATAAACTGCTTGTAGCAGTAGTTAGTGTAGTGTTACATTGTTTGGTGGTGCACCTTGCTTGCTTTGCCTATATCCTTGTACCCTCTCTTCATCGAACCTCACCTTTTTCTCCTCACTAAACTCTCTCGACCTTCTGGCCTAGGCTACTAAGCCTAGGCCCTAATACTCCATTCTCTAACAAGCCTACTTCGCCCATACATCCCAACCACCAGCCAACTGCCTCGTCATCGCCCGCATTCGATGACTCGCCCTGCATCGGAGCCGATCATCAAGCCCTAATCAATCCTGAGCCATCGGATTTGCCACCCCACGGGAATCAGGAGGATTGAATTCCTCGTTCGCTGGACGGACCGCACGCCAACTGAAGATAGCTGGGTGCCCATGGCCAACATTGAAAACCACCCTGCCCTGCAAGTGTACCTGAGGAGCTGGGGATTCCGCGATATACACGCACTCGCGTAACAGAGGGGGCTTCTTGAGGGGAGGGGGGGGTAGTGTAAGGAATTTTCTCGGCATTCCTTACGGAGCCCGACTACATCGCGTACAGCAACAGCCGTTGTTCGCCCGTTACTGCTAACGGGACTTCGCCAACTTCGCGCGCACTGTTTTGCCAAACCTCGCACTGCTGGCCCGGCCGTGTCGGCCTACGCTTCGGGACTAGCCCAAGCCTCGCTGCCAGCGTAGCGCTAGCTTGCTCGCACGCACCACGTTACCGTTTGCATGTTCGCGTATAAATGTTCGCTCATGCCTTCGCTCATATCTTTGTACTCGTTTGACACCTTAGTGCAATTCTCGCTACCTCGATTCATTGAACCCGTAACAAATACGAAAACAATCAATAGGAATACAAGATTTTGTGGATTATTGTAGTAATAAAGATGCAGAAATTGCCCATACTAAATTGGGTATCTAATTAAATATTCTGAGATATTATCGCTCACCTTCACAGCAAATAAAATTGTGTTTGCAAGCTGACCTCATCTTTGTTCGCAATTTTTTTTTTTTGGTTGTAACTATATTATCGTAACATAGATGCATCCGCAGTCGTAACTGTATTCTTGGAGGGCCTAGGCCGCGCCTCACTGGGCGTTGCACTCCCCTCCCTACCCGTTTACGGGTGCTGATGAAAAGTGCGCGGATTGCGCCAAATTGAGAGAAACAGGCCCGGCCAACTTGCTGGCCCATCATCATTGCAGATACCACGTAACATCTTCCTTTCGTCACCTGCCACCTGGCGCCACCAATCCTTCCCTGCGCCTATGTCCGCCTCCCCTGCAGCTGCCACCCTTCTTCGTGATGCCACTGTAACTTCAAAATTAGGAACTTTCAAAATTTTCTGACCTATAGCTTGCATCCGCCGGGTAGCTATGACCGTCCTAGACCACCCGTGTGGTACTAACAGCGCTTCTCCACTAGATCGGGGTCCTCTAAGTTGAGCTCTAGCCCTACTCCTCGGGCTAATCTCTCCTTAGAGCGAGCACCTCCTTAGTACTAGGCCGCCGACAGCAACTCTGAGTAGTGTATGAAGGCTCAGAGCGATCCCACAATAGTAGCTTGGTAGCAATAGGTTGGGCAAGAGTGATCTCCTTAATCGATTATGCCTACACAAGCTTTCCCCTAGGTTTATATAGTGGGCGGGCATTTCCCACACCACTCAAATGCAACATTCCTAGAGGTCCTACCGAGGTGTGCACCAGGGCGAGCCGCTATCGGATTGTTTATGCTGCCATCTAGATCCGTTGTACCTCATTCCGACATTCGTACCAGGGGAAGGTTCCGAGGTGGGTCTTCATCGGACCGAATGTTGCCATCCGGATCCAATGTTACCAAGGTCCGCGCCAGGGGATGAACCCAAGGCGATTTGCTACCGGACTGATTCACCCTAGCTGTGGTTCCGCGGCTTATAGAAATATGCTGCCGCCTAGGTTCAATGCATCCTATCCGATGTTTCCAAGGTCCGCGCCTAGGGATGAACCCAAGGCGATTTGCTACCGGACTGATTCACCCTAGCTGTGGTTCCGCGGCTTGTAGAAATATGCTGCCGCCTAGGTTCAATGCACCCTACCCAATGTCCGAAACCATGGGTTGAGCCCAAGTCGGGTCCCTATCCGGTCAAGATACCCCGATCGAGGTATCTAGGCAGCTTATAGATATGCTGCCGTCTAGATCCAACGCATTCGCCCACCAAGATTCGCGCCAGGGGACGAGCCCAAGGCGGTTTGCTACCGAATCATTTAACCTAGCCAAGGCGCTTTCCCGCCGAGGTCCGTACCAAGGGATTGACCCGAGGTGATTAGCCATAGGCCACCGAACCTCTTACCCTAGCTAGGGCACTCATGCACCAAAGATTTGCCAAAGGGGCATACCCCTATTGGCCTAGCATGCCTAAACAATCCTTGTTTCTCGGCTCTGCCCGATGGAGCTTATACTTCAATCCGGGTCAATTATCCTCTTAGAAACCCCGAGGGTTGACCCGTTGACCATTTTAGCTAATGACTTTGGTATTTAAGTTACACATGTAACTTTCTCGGATGCGGTCTTGTGGCTCCTGACACAAGGAAAGAGGGGTCGGGATTGTGGAGGGGTGAGGTCTTCCTACCCCTAGAAGAGGTTGGGATGGGTCAAAATCACAAGGTGACCTGCACCACCTTCACGTTCTCCCTGGACTCCCGCCATACCATCCCCCCTTTTGCCTCCAATGTCACATGAAATGCCTCTACCTCTTTGACCCTAAAGAGGGTCTTGTATTTCCGGTCCTGGTCCGCCCAAGCCACCCTCTTGGTCGGTTTGATCCGAATGAAATCCCCTACCCTGATTGGCTCCAGGAGGGTTCGACGCCGGTCAAAGTCGACCTTCTGCTTCTCCTGTGCCTTATCATGGTTCTCAGCTGCCTTTGCCAGAGCCAGCTCCATCTCCGAGGACCTTTCATAGATAAGTCCAGCTGCTGCATCGGCTTCCTCCTCGGTGGATAGCTCGGTCAGCTCCTTTACCTCCCATTCCGTCAAGGTGCTACCCGTGATGTTGGGGTGGCGGCCATTGAGTAAGAAAAAAGGGGAGAACTTGGTGGAGGAATGAATGGAGGCCCGGTACCCCAGTAGGACCCAGCAGATGTTCTCATCCCACTCAAACGGGTTGGTCTCCCCCAGCCTCATCAGCGCCCCCTTTAGCGTCCTTTGGAACCTCTCAATAAGCCCCGAGCTCTGAGGATGATTGGGGCGAGAGAATTCATGATAAATTCCAAACTTTTCCAACAGCACCCCGAACTCCCCATGAAAATGCTGCCCATTGTCCGTGTGGATCACCAGCGGGCAGCCGTGCGTGGAGATGATTTTCTCAGCTACAAACGCAGCTGCTGTTGCTGAGTCCGCATGCCTCACCGCCTTGCACTCAGGCCACTTGGTGAAGTGGTCCATGGTCGATATGATGTACCGGTTCCCTCCTTTTTCCGTCACCGGTAGTGGGCCGACGAAGTCGATCACTACCCTGTCCCATGGCTTTGTTACCGGGACCGGCCTCAGTTCCCCTTTTGCCGTCCAGGATCCCCTCTGGAAGGTGCAGGTAGGGCACCCACGTACGAAGGCTGATACGTCACTCCCCATGCCATACCAGTCGTACTGCTTCCGAACCAGGTCGGTGGTGCGTTGGACCCCAAGGTGCCCCAGCCCATGAAGGAGGCTAATGATCTCCTCCCTCTCTTCCTTCCTAGGGACCGGCTTTTTATCCCCCTTTGCCTTCAGGTTCCACAGCACCCCATCCCGTAGTTCGAACTTCTTTCCCCGGGCCCGCACCCTCCGCTTCTCAGCCTTGTCCCACACCGGATCAACCTCCCCGCACTCCAGATAGAACAAGGTGTTGAGGTCGTCCCAAATGTCTAGCGTGGTTGTCTCGGATGCGAGACTTTTACCCGGCTGCTCTTCCCCCTGGGTTCCGTGTGGGGGTCCACCTCCCCCTGCCTCTTTTTCATCCCCCTTTGAGGTCCCGGCTTCCTCCTTTGATTTTCCCTTATCCCGTCTGACCTTTTTGAGAGGTTGTGTCATTGGCGGTGACGACCCCCTCTCTTCCGACCCTTCATGGTCGTTTTCCTGCCCTCCTACCCCTGGAGCCACCATCTCCTGGTCTCCCTCGGCCGCCTTCTCCTCCTCTTCCTCCTCTCCGTCCTCATCATCCTCCCCTCCGGATCCATCCGTTTCATCGTCCTCTTCTCCTGACCCTTCATCCCCATCTCCATCATCGGACTCTTCGGATCCGGCTTGTCCGACCTCTCCTTCTTCTTCCCCATCCCGTTTTTCCGTATTGCTACTCAGTTCCTCTGGTTCACGGCCGGCCACCTCGTCTCCTTCCTCCTCACCACTATCCCCTCCGTCCCCTTCCCCATCAACCGAGCTGCTGCTTTCTTCCCCAGCTGGTGGTGGTGGGGGTGATCGTGGGAACAGGTTTGTGAACATGGGGATGGGGTTTGAGGTGGGGGACAGGGGAGGTGAGTGTGCATATGAGAGTGCCTCCTCCCCGGACTGTTGATGCAGCCCCTGGTGCATGCGGCTAAGTGCATCCACATTCCGGTGTGTCTCCCCGGGCCGATAGGAGACGGTAAAGTCGTACTCCTGCAGGAGTAGACTCCACCTGGCCAACTTTCCTGTTAAGTCCTTAGCCGTCATTAGCCACTGGAGGGCTTGGTGGTCGGTCTGCAGCAGGAACCGGCTCCCATAGAGGTAGGGTCGGAAGTGTTTGATAGCCCACACCACTGCCAAGCACTCCCCATGGGTGGACGACAGGTTCTTTTCTGCCCCTCTTGTCGTACGGCTAGCGTATGCCACCACTCGCTCCGCCCCCTTCTCATCCTTTTGAGCTAGGATGGCCCCCAAGGCTGTAGCAGAGAAATCCGTCTGGAGGATAAAGGGTTTAGAAAAGTCTGGGAAAGCGAGAATGGGAGGGGAGATTAGAGCCAGTTTGAGGGCATTGAATGCCCTCTCACATTTGTCCGTCCACTCAAATGGGTTGTCCTTGTGCAGCAGCTGCGTGAGGGAATGCGCCACCTTCGCATACCCCTTTATGAATCGCCGGTAGTAACTGGTGCACCCCAGGAACTCCCGGACTCCTCTCACATCCACCGGTGCCGCCATCATACTAATCGCCTCCACCTTTCCCGCATCCGGCTTCACCCCATCCCTTGTCACGATGTGCCCCAAGTAGATCGTGGAGTAGAACCCCAGCTCACACTTGTTGGGCTTGAGGAGCAGGTGGTTGGCCTTCACCCGTTCGAAGACATCCCGTAGGTGCTCCAAGTGCTCCTCCCAACTGTTGGAGAAGACTATAATATCATCGAGATAGGGAATGGCGTTAAGATGGGTGCGAAAAACGGTGGTCATGAGGCGTTAGAATGTGGCCGGGGCATTTTTCAATCCAAAAGGCATCCGAACATACTCATATTGGCCCGAGGAGGTAACAAAAGCGGTCTTAGGGATGTCCTCTTCGGCCACTCTGATGGTATGATAGGCCGATTTGACGTCAAGGACTGAGAAATACAGCGACCCCGTCATCCGGTCGAGGATGTCATCGATCCTCGGCATGGGAAACTGGTCCGCTGCTTCTGTTACCGCATTGAGGGGTCGGTAATCGATCACCACCCGATCACCAAAGTCTTTTTTTGGGATGACGATACAGGGGGAGGCCCAGGGGCTGTTGGAGGGTCGGATCACGCCTTGTTCTAAGAGGGCCGCTACCTCCTCTTCTATCCGAGCCCGTTCTGAGGGGGATACCCGGTATGGTTTGTGGGAGATGGGCTTGGCTGACCCAGTGGCAATGTGATGAAAGACGGTGGGGTGGGTGCCCAACGGTTCGGCTTCTGTGGCAAAGACCTCCCGGTACCCTACCAGCAGCTTCCTCAGGTCCGTCTGTTGGGCCGTCCCTAATTCATGGTTAAGTGATACCGGCAGATCCTCAAAGGCAGGGCAGGCAACTCGAGGGGCCTCCTTTTTGAGGCTGTAATAACTACCGAGAACTATCCGTCCTTCATCCCCTTTTTCAGCTGCTAAGTATTGCCACCGCTCAGCTGCCGGGTAATTGAATAGCTCGAATAGGTAGTTCGGACTGATCCGGTGCCCCTTCCCCTCATAAGCCAGCTCCCCTTCCTCTTTGTCCTCCACCAAGTACTCTTCCCCGTCCGTCATCGAATCCCCTTCCCATAGGTCCGCGATTTCCCCCTTTTCCTCCACAGCCTTCCGTGCCTCCTCATACCCCATGTCCCAGTGTGGTTCCCCAGCCTCATCATCCGATGCCCCAAGGTCAGAGTAACGTTTCCCATCTGACCCAAAGAGACTAGGCATCTCGTCATCCGTCCCGACTTCTCCTTCTGGCTCACCTCCCTCGGGTATGCCATCGAGCCCGCCTGTCCCGAGCTCCTCATAGAACCCATGCTCCTTGAGTTCTAGGGCGTCCAGCTCCGCCCGATCCAACTCCTCTTCCTCCTGGACCCATGCCCAATAGTCCGCCTCCTCCTCCTCCGTCAGCCGGATGCGCCCCTGCTCCTTGGCCAGGAGGAGCTGCTTCTCCTCTAGCCACCGCTGGAACTCCTCCTCATTCATCCCGGACCAATGCTGAGGAGGTGTGGGATCATTCCTGCGGGGTGTTTGGGGCGGGAGGGACACATAGGAGGGACGGCTACCCGTGCCCACGGGTCCAGTAGTGATAGGTACCGAATCTGTCTCTTTGGTATTGACCCGGTACACTATCTGCCCTTTACTGGTCAGGATATCTACATTAGCCGAATAGATCCAGTCCTGTCCTAGCAGCATGTCATAGGTGTTCGCCCCGGTCACCGCTATGTCGATTGGGAGGGTCAGCTTCCCCACCCGCACCGGCACGTCAGGCAAAATTCCCCACGGCTTCAACGTCTCCCCACTAGAGGTGGTATACTCTATTGTGGTGTCCTGGAGGTAGGGTAGCAGCCCTAACTTCCTAGCGATGACGTGCGAAAGGGCCGTTTGGGACGCACCGGAATCAACTATAGCGGTCAGACGATGCTTGCCTAGGTGGACATCGCACTGGGGGACTTGGAAGACTAGGTTGCTGGGGATTGGGTCCTCATGCCTAGACTCCCGTGGAGCAGCTGCCACTATCGAAACCCCTTGCATGACGGCTGCCCCGTCCTCCTTCCCCTTATCCTCAGCCAGCTTCAGAGCATCCAACAACTCTTTTCTCACCTTGTCACTGTCGCTTATGTAATTCCAGACGCTGGCGCTCACGGGGGTGAGTTTCAGCTGGTCCACCACATTATATGAGTTGGGTAGGGCGGATACCCGTGGCCTCCGTACGAACCGGGATCCCTTAGCTGCTTCCTCCGCCCCACCCGTCTCTGCCAGCTTCTTCCTCAACTCCTCCCTCGCCTCGTCTATTCCCCATCCTTCCGGGTCCCGGACCGCCTGCCTTTTCCGAGGTCCGACCAGCATATCCAGCTTTCCCTCTTCCCTGTTAAGAAATTCTGCTATAGTCGGGGCTTTTCCCTCTAGGACCTGCTGCATGACGTTCAGCGCCGCCCGCCCCTTTTGGGTGCAGTCCCGAGCCATATGTCCCTCCCCGCACTGGTAACATTTAAATCCGCCTCCTGCCGGCCTAGGGAGTAAGCCGCCTCCCCTTCCCTGCTGCATCTGGGCCAACTGGATACTCAGCTTCTCCAGCTGCTTGGTGATCTTATCCACCTCGGACTCCTTATTCACTGGGTCCTTCTCCTTAGCAGCTTCCACCACCGGTTCTATCCCCATTGGTAACGAATAGGACACAAAGTATTTAGCAGCTTCCTCAGCCGCCTCCAGGGAGATTGGCCTTCCCCCCAGCACTCTCTCCCTCAGGCCTTTGTCCCCCAGCCCCTCAATAAAGTGTCTCACCGCCATAGCTGTGGGGTAGTTGGGAACGTAGGCCGCCAGCTGCCTCACTTCGTCCGCCAACTCCGTCAGCGTCTGCCCCGGTTTCTGCTTCAAGGCCGTCAGCCTTTGCATGACATTAGCGGCTGATTCCCAAATAAAGCGCTCCTTAAAAGCCTTATCAAAGCCCGCCACAGACTGAAAATCCTTGCTCTCCGCCCACACGTAAGCGGAGTCCGTCAGGTGCATCAGTAGGTAATCTAACTGCTGCTCCTCGGGTATTGAGGCTAGGAAGCACCGTAATGCACGCGTGGCCTGACTAATCCACACCTTAGGGTCCGGTGAACGTCCATCGAAGCGCGGCAACTGCCCCATAGCTGCAGCTATACTCGACATATTCGGAAGGGACGGGTTCGTTTTCTCAGCCAAAGGGAGAGGAAGACCGGTATGGGCCACCACAAAATTAGGAACTTTCAAAATTTTCTGACCTATAGCTTGCATCCGCCGGGTAGCTATGACCGTCCTAGACCACCCGTGTGGTACTAACGGCGCTTCTCCACTAGATCGGGGTCCTCTAAGTTGAGCTCTAGCCCTACTCCTCGGGCTAATCTCTCCTTAGAGCGAGCACCTCCTTAGTACTAGGCCGCCGGCAGCACCTCTGAGTAGTGTATGAAGGCTCAGAGCGATCCCACAATAGTAGCTTGGTAGCAATAGGTTGGGCAAGAGTGATCTCCTTAATCGATTATGCCTACACAAGCTTTCCCCTAGGTTTATATAGTGGGCGGGCATTTCCCACACCACTCAAATGCAACATTCTTAGAGGTCCTATCGGACGAAACACCCCTAGAACTTTCCTCTAAACCCCTCCTTGGGTTATTTTGGTGAATAAGAAGGAATGCTGCCGGCCCAATCCAACGCATTGCTTACCGAGGTGTGCACCAGGGCGAGCCGCTATCGGATTGTTTATGCTGCCATCTAGATCCGTTGTACCTCATTCCGACATTCGTACCAGGGGAAGGTTCCGAGGCGGGTCTTCATCGGACCGAATGTTGCCATCCGGATCCAATGTTACCAAGGTCCGCGCCAGGGGATGAACCCAAGGCGATTTGCTACCGGACTGATTCACCCTAGCTGTGGTTCCGCGGCTTATAGAAATATGCTGCCGCCTAGGTTCAATGCATCCTATCCGATGTTTCCAAGGTCCGCGCCTAGGGATGAACCCAAGGCGATTTGCTACCGGACTGATTCACCCTAGCTGTGGTTCCGCGGCTTGTAGAAATATGCTGCCGCCTAGGTTCAATCCACCCTACCCAATGTCCGAAACCATGGGTTGAGCCCAAGTCGGGTCCCTATCCGGTCAAGATACCCCGATCGAGGTATCTAGGCAGCTTATAGATATGCTGCCGTCTAGATCCAACGCATTCGCCCACCAAGATTCGCGCCAGGGGACGAGCCCAAGGCGGTTTGCTACCGAATCATTTAACCTAGCCAAGGCGCTTTCCCGCCGAGGTCCGTACCAAGGGATTGACCCGAGGTGATTAGCCATAGGCCACCGAACCTCTTACCCTAGCTAGGGCACTCATGCACCAAAGATTTGCCAAAGGGGCATACCCCTATTGGCCTAGCATGCCTAAACAATCCTTGTTTCTCGGCTCTGCCCGATGGAGCTTATACTTCAATCCAGGTCAATTATCCTCTTAGAAACCCCGAGGGTTGACCCGTTGACCATTTTAGCTAATGACTTTGGTGTTTAAGTTACACCACCACCACTCTCGCATGCGTCATGAAATCCAACACTGCACAGCGTTCCACCTTCTTCCGATCAAAAGGGGTCGCACGCCACACCGCATCACAGCGCGCCAACCAGATCCGCCCGAGTATTGCCGCTGTCAAAGTCATCTCAGGAAAGCCTGACTTCGTGCCCCCATGCTCATAAAGCAGGTCGCCCAGCGAGTCCATGGGCTTGCCCGGATTCATCATCTGCAGGGACCTCTTAAGCGCATCGATCACAGGCTGTATTGTTGGGCAGCTGTAAAGGCAATGCGCTAGGGTTTCCTCACCCCCAAAGTGCGGGCAAGCAATCCTGTTCTGGAAGAAATCCAATCTCCCCCCCACCTGGAGGTTCATGCTATGCACCCTGAGAAGCACATCCCTCGCCTTGAGGGGGACACTTACCGAGTCCCGTGTGTCGATAGCCCTCTTCCAATCTATCTTCTTGCCCCAATCCTCTTCCCACTCCGCCTGCCTCCAAGAATGCCCCGTCGACTTAGAGAGCATAGCCCGTAACCTGCGCAGCGGCACCAGTTCCCCGCCAGCAAAGAGTCCAAGCTTCCCTAGTATCCTTGCCTTCGGGTCCCCTACTGTACCAAGCACCCTGCCTCCCCGGACCGCCAGAGGCTGTAGGCTACAAGCCTCAAAACATGTCTCCCTCCGTCCTCCTGGGACGTACAACTTCCCTTCCGCGTCCGTCGCCATGTACTCTGCGACAATTTGTGCGCCGTCAATTCCCTTCATCGCCCACAGAGGCCCCGTAGGCTGGCCTCGGAGGACGTATCTCGCCACGCCTGACGCCGCTACTACTGCCGCCACTGTCGTTGGCTCTTCAACCATCTTTTTCCATTCTGGCGGGATTGCCTCGTAGGCTTTCCGCGCCATAATTGCCGCTTCCTTGCACCCTTGTTCCACCGCTAGCTCCTCTTCGCCCTTCACTTCCCTACTCACCCCTGGGCCGTCTCTGAGCAGGTCCCGAATCCTCGTCCAGATGAGAGCCGCCGTACCCTTCTAATGCCCAAGAGGGCTCGCCCCCCGATGCATTATGTTTCTGTTGAAACAAATGAACTCCTCCTCCACCTCCCATCTGCTCGCTGGCGACGGCAGCGACGCGAAAGGCGACTTCAAGAAGACTTTCACTGCTGCCTTCCACCTTTCACTCCCTTGCTGCCACTGCTTGATTGGCGACGGATGTGCGTACAGCGTGGCCCACCCTTGCGGAAAACCAGCCGCTTCCTCCGCCAACCACCGCCGTGTGGCGTCCGGCTCGCGCAGGAGCTTTCCCACCCTGCGGACAGCCAGCCCGTCCAAGCAGAGTTTCGGATCGATCTGGCCCAAACCCCCATCCTTCCGCGGGAGACACGCAAGGTAGGCGCTCCAGAGGATGAAGATTTTTTCCTCCGCAACTTCTCCGGCCGAGACAAAAGCGTGGCCGAGCTTCCTGATCTTCTCCCACACCTCATACGGTGGTGAGTACACCTGGGCTTGAAACATAAGCACGGGTAGAACGTAGCAGCTGATCACCGCTACCCTCGCTGTCGTCGTGAGATATTGTGCTTCCCACTTCCTTAACTCCTCCTTTATCCTCTCGTGTGCCTTTTTCCAGGACGGGCCAGCGTCGCCGTTGGGTGTTATCCATATGCCCAGGAGCCTTTCAGGTTCTTCTCTCTCAGACCACTTGTACGGCATGCCTTGTGGCGTTGCAGTCCCTCTGTTGCATCCCAGGGGAACCACCACCGACTTGTCACAATTAACCTTCAAACCAGACTGCTTGCCAAACATGTCTAGCACCTCTACCACCTCTTGCAGTTGACCTTCTCCGCGTAGCAGGATAGAGGTGTCATCCGCGTACCCCACATACGAGAGCGGCGTCTTCCCTTCCGGCCCGACCCCCAGTCTCCTGCGCTGCATCTCTCTGCACAACGGTTCCAGCGCGCAGAGGAAGAGGTATGGTGCAAGCGGGCAGCCCTGTCTGACACCCCTATGCATCTCCACCTTCTCGCTCAGCCATCCATTAATAATGACTCGCATCCCTGCTTCTTCGTGCAGGCCCCTGGTCCACCTGACAAACCTCTCCGGTATGCCCAGTTCTGACATCACTCTGAAGAGGAAATCCCTTGAGACTGTATTGTACGCCTTCTTAAAGTCTACCAGCAACAACAACCAGTCTTTGCTCCCACCGTTGGGCGCCTCCACTGCATCCGCAACCACCGACACCACGTCTGCCAGGCTCTTTCCCGGCAAGAAACCGTGTTGCTCCTTCGACAGCACCCTTTTCAGCCTTGTCGCCATGATTTTCGTAACCCGTTTATACATGACTGTAAGTAGAGTGATTGGCCGGTAATTACCCAGCTGGTCTGTATCGCCCTCTTTGTGCAGTAGAACTGTTACAGCAGTTGAGATGCCCTCCGGCATCTTCGCCATCTCCACAAATTCCCTGACAAAACCCCTCACGTGTTCCATGAGCAGCTCCCAATGCAGAATGAAAAACTCCGCCGGCAGACCATCCTGGCCCGGAGATTTCCCCTTTGGTAGCCCCTCCAGCCCCTCCTTGACCTCGGCTTCTGTCCATTCGGCACCTAGCGACGCCGCATCCGCGACTGAAAATTTCGCGCCTTCCGAGAAATTCTCCCAGTCCACGGCCTCCTCCGGCGGCACTTCTTTGAAGGCGGCCCTGAAATGATCCGCTGCTGCCTGCAGCACTTCCTTCGTCCCAGATACGCCCTCCCCTGGTGAGTAACCTTCCGTATCAGCGTCCGCTTCTTCCGCACCTTGATCTTCGCTAAGAGGTACAGGGACGGGACCTCCCCGTCCAGTTCCACCTTGATGACCGCCAGGACCTGCATCCTATCCTTGCAGCTCTGCAAATAGGCCTCCAGGTGTGCCTCTTTCCGCACCAACTTGCTCTGCACCCTTTTATCCCTCGGGTATCTCATGACTTTGTGCCGCAGGAACTCCACTACACGCTCGAGATGCGTGACCGTTGCCTTCACCCTCTTCCTTTCTTCCCGCGAGTAGTCCCTCAGCCCCACGCTGAGCAATCTCAGTTTTTTCCCGATGTCAATCTTCTCTGCCCCAATCCGCTGGAGTATGCGAGCTGTCACCACACTCACTCCTCTCCTCTGTGCCTGCCTCGCTTGCATTCTCCACATCCCAAGGCCCCGGTCATCTGGTTCCGCCACTGCTAGCGCAAACTTGATGCCGAACCAGTGGTCTGATAACCCCCTTGGCACCTTAACATGCCGCGCGTCAGCCAACAAACCAACAAGCGAGAAGGATATCAGGCCCCGGTCAATCCGCGTGCTCGCCATCGACGCCCTGTCTCGGAACGTGTACTCCGGTTTGGTCGGATGCACCACCCGGAAAGCGTCTCTGAGATCTACCGCTCGCTAGAACTTCAGGAGCCTCTGATTCTCATTCCCCGATCCCGACTTTGATGATCCAGATCTGGGTCTTCCACCAGGTTCAGATCCCCTATTACCACCAGATGCACTGCTGCTGGCTGGGCCTGGACGAAAGGCAAAAGGCAGTTCCGGAAGAAAACCCCTCTGGCGCACGCCTGCGCGGGCAGGTACATCGCCACCAGCTTGAAGTTGATCCGCGGGCAGGCCACTCTGACCCCCACTAGCCTGCCTGATGGGTGAGTGATCATGTCTGTAAGCTTAACCTCCTCGTTGAAAGATAGCACCGCTACCCGCCTTGCTCTGTCACTATTTCCCACCACCGCCGCCGATGATGGCTTTAGTTCCGTCCAAAAATTATGGTCCTCTTTGATTCTTGTGTCCGTCAGCACCACCACGCCCGCGACTGTTTTTATCCATTGCGCATGCGTCGCTCGTTTGCCGTTGCTTCCGAGGCCGTTGACATTGACCTCGCACACTGTAAGGTTGTTGGTGTTGTTACCCATTGATCCACTGAGACAGAGCCCCTTCGCATCCACGGGCTTGGTACAAGGCAACTGCATCTACACACAACTGCATACATCTTCCTGTTGAGGCACAACACTCCTCCACACACCACGGATTATTCTCCCGCCGTGACAAACATCCTTGACTCCACTTATTACCACCAAATGCACTCCTCTGCGTTGCTAATGTTGCAGGCCGAACTCCTTGCGGAATGGGATAAAGTTCATCATCCCTTTGCTTTTCCTGCTTGCCACATCCCCCTGCAGCAGAGCCGTCCAGTGCTGGACCGACTTCACATGCGCCATCGCCTGTGAGAAACTGGATCCATGAGCCTTGCCGCACGCCTCCTTCACGCAGAGCCAGTCCTCCCGGCTCCCTCCAGTGGAGACCAGCACCACCGCTGGGTCGCGTAAGATCCTTTTCATCCGAGCGTCGAGCGGCAGTGACGCAGCTGCTCACGGACGATGTGGAGAAACAGGAGTCAACAGCGGCCGACGCCGACCAGCAGGGACCGTCAACCAGCCCGTGCGAGGTCGCGACTGCCTGCGATAAAAGGTTAGTGCACAAATGTTTACCGTCGATCGCGTGCAGACGCTGCAGTGTCAGGTTCCATTTTCCAATGCTCTCCTGACGCTCCATAACAAATTCGTCATGAAACTTCAACATGTGCATGCCGTTGCAAAATTCACAGGAAAGCGGCGGATAATGAACAAGAAGTTGTTTGTGGTGCACCGAATCTGTCAACAGGTGCCACCAATGATACTTATCCCCCGGGTGCCCCTTAACCAGGCCCCTTATCTTGTCCGTGTCTGCACCCGTCACAGGATCCACCACCCGATGAAAGGCATCCCCACTGAGGAAAGAAGTACGACCGCGCTTCTCCAAAACCGTCTTCACCAAATACTCGTACACCATCTCCGGCGTAATCGCAGCCAGGACACTCTTCAGCAGCACTTCGATTGAATCCGGGTTTGTCGCACGCTTGTGAGTATAGGTAGGATTCTCGGGATGCTGCCAATCCAGAAAGATCTTCTTCTCATCCAACATCTTGTGCTCAATCCGGCGACACCACACGTAGTTAGCGTCCGACGCCTGCAGAAAGGTAACTTGCAGTCTTCCGTACTGCTTTTTCGACAGCCACGCCGGCAACAGAACCTGGCACCTTGTCGTCGTCAGGACATGTGCCGAGATGCTCCTCCTCCACAGCGCAGGCAGAACCTTGACCGTATCAATGGTGCGCGGGACCTCCTCCTCGTACTTGATTGGAACCATAAGCGTGATCGAGAAACCCGCACGCGCAGCGATCTGTCATAATATAATGCTTGTCTAGCCTGCAGTGGGGTACTCTATAGTGAGTACAGCCCCTTAGGGTTTCCTATTTGTATCCACCTGCTTGCTAGGGCAGCCCCTCCTTTGCCTATTTTCTCTTGCCTAGCTAGGGTTTACCTAGCTATGGCTCCTCGTTCTAGCCACTATTCCAACATGCTATCAGAGCGGTTACGCTCCTGGTCTGTGGGCCCACCTGCTTCCGCTGCCCTACTGTGTGTCGCGCGGATCTTCTATTTTTGTTCCCGCCACGCGCTCGGGGCGCGTGGCGGTTTTCTGCCCGCCGTGCGCCCCGAGGCGCGCGGCGGTTTCCTGCTTCGTGCGACGCCCTGAGGGCCCGCGCGTCGCCCTCCTCCCGTCGCCTCGTCGCGGCGCCTTGGGGGCCCGCGCGCCGGCCCCTCCCGTCACCTCGTCGCGGCGCCTTGGGGGCCCGCGCGCCGGCCCCTCCCGTCGCCTCGTCGCGGCGCCTTGGGGGCCCGCATGCCGGCCCCTCCCGCCGCCTCGTCGCGGCGCCTTGGGGGCCCTCGCGCCGGCCCCTCCCGTCGCCTCGTCGCGGTGCCTTGGGGGCCCGCGCACGGCCCCCCCCCTCCCGTCACCCGTCGTGGCGCCCTCGGGGGGCCCGCGCCTTGCTCTTTCGTGGCGCCCTGGAGACCCCCCGCCGCCTCCCTTTCCCTCCGTGACCCGCCCCTACTGCTTCCCGCGCTCCTACCTGCGTTAGGGTTTGGGGGTGGGGAGTGTGGGGGTGGCGGGTGTGGGGGTGGCGGTTGTGAGTTCCTCCCCTTGCTCCTCCTCCTCCCTCGTCTCCCACTGCTGCAGCTGTCGCTGAGGGGGGTGGGTGTGTGGGAGCCTAGGGTTTAGGGTTTAAGGGGGGTGCCGTGGGAGTGAAGCTAGGGTTTCAGCAGGGGGTGTGTGAGAGGGGTGTGGGGCAGTTGGCGGAGGTTGAGCGGAGGTAGCAGTCCTGTCGCTAGCAGCACCAGTAGTCGCCAGTCGCCTGTGGGTCAGTTGCTCCGGTCAGGAGGCTACAATCTTCGCGGAGCCAGTTACTCCTGTAGTCCGGGCCTTTGCTTCGGTAGTCATTGAGCTAGCAGCTCCTTTGTGTCTGCAGCTTCAGCAGTCGCCTTCCATCATCTCTCCCCCACAGTCTCTCCTCCTCCTCACTTGCCCTCTGTGATAGCCTCTAGCTTTGCTTATCATTGTGAACTATTGCTCTATGCCTGCTTGTTGTGCTGATTATACCCCACTATGACTATGGGGGTGTATCAGAATATAATGCTTGTCTAGCCTGCAATGGGGTACTCTATAGTGAGTACAGCCCCTTAGGGTTTCCTATTTGTATCCACCTGCTTGCTAGTGCAACCCCTCCTTTGCCTATTTTCTCTTGCCTAGCTAGGGTTTACCTAGCTATGGCTCCTCGTTCTAGCCACTATTCCAACACGATCTCCCCAGCCTTCACAGGATCGAAGCGTACTTCCGGGTCGTCACTGAGATATCCATCATCTTCCTCCTCTTCTTCTTCCTCCCCGACCACAGGAGCCACAGGATCAACAGCCGGTGGTGTAACCTCAGTTGCTTCGTCCTTCTCTTCTGCAGCACTGTCCTCCCCTCGTCCAGCAGAGGAAGCCGTGGGTGGAAACTTCAGAGTCGTTAACTTCTTCACCAGAGAGATACGCACGTCGTCCGCAAAGGGGCCTTCCACCTCCTTCAACATCGGTTTCGGCGTCGCCGGCTCCGACTGATGGCCTTTTGCTGCAGGATTGCGCTCCACATTGCCCGCCTTGGCCGCTTGCTGAGCACCCTTCTTCGACTGACGCGGCATGGTGAGAAAATACTAGCTTAAAAGGTAGTTTAGATTTAAGGTGGCCTAGGCTTAGTAGCCTAGGCCACGAGGGAGTCGAGAGGTTTGTGCCAAGGGAGAGGAGAATGAGGTGGTTTCACTATACCACGAGAGTACATATAGCAAACAAATGAAGAGGTGCACCACCTACAAAGTTCATAACTACACTACAGCTAGAACAACATGCAGGTATAATAAGAATATAATTCTGACATCCCCCCGTAACTGCATGCAGGAATAGCTAAGTGCAGAACACAACCTGCAAGGGTACACAAGCAACAGCAACAGCAGGTACGGTAACAGAGCAGGTACAACAGCAAAAGGACAGGCGACAGTAAGAAAATTTCTGCCACCCCCTTACTCTCTTCCCCCCCCAACCACAGGAGGGGGAGCAAGGAGAGTGAGGAGGCGGGCTGGCTCTGGCTGGTCACCCCCTCCATCTCCTCACCCTCCCCCTCCCCCTCCCCCCAACACTGCTGCAAGAGCAGCAGAGGGGGGAAGAGAGGAGAGGTGGAGGGACGGCTGCTGGATGGTCTCACACCCGCCACCCCAATGCCACTCCCCTAGCTCCCCCACACCCTCACACCCTCCCCCCTAGCGGCAGCTGCAGCAGTGGGAACGAAAGGAGGAGGAGGGGAAGGGAAGCACACTACCCAACACTCCAACACCCGCCACCCCCATACCCTCCCCCCCACGGCTGCAGGGAGACGAAGGAGGAGGGGGTGGGCGGGAAGAAAGCCGCAGAGCGGCTACATAGGGTCGGCGCAGGTAGGTTGGGGGCGGCTGCAGGGAGTGCAGGCGCGGGGTGAAGCAGAGGCACCGCCGAGTGCGCCAGGGGCGGGTACTTGGCGGTTCAGGACACCGTCGCAGGCGCCAGGGGCGGGTCCGCGGCGGCTCAAGGGCACCGTCGCGCATGCCACGGGGCGCACGACGAGCAGGGCACCGTCGCGTGCCACGGGGCGCACGACGGGCAAGTTCAAGTTTAGGGCACCGTCGTGTGCCTCAGGGCGCACGACGAGCAGGGCACCGTCGCGTACCACGGGGCGCACGACGGGCAAGTTTAGGGCACCGTCGCGTGCCACGGGGCGCGCGACGGACAGAGAAGGTGTCACTCGCCACCCGGGGGCGGGACAAGACGAAAATCGCCACGCGCCCTAGGCGCGCGACCGGAAAAACAGCAGCGGAAGCATAAGGCGGGCCCACAGGCCAGGACGAAACACGCTCTAATGCCATGAGAAAATACTAGCTTAAAAGGTAGTTTAGATTTAAGGTGGCCTAGGCTTAGTAGCCTAGGCCACGAGGAAGTCGAGAGGTTTGTGCCAAGGGAGAGGAGAATGAGGTGGTTTCACTATAGCACAAGAGTACATATAGCAAACAAATGAAGAGGTGCACCACCTACAAAGTTCATAACTACACTACAGCTAGAACTATATGCAGGTATAATAAGAATATAATTCTGACACATGGTGCGATGATGAGAGCTAAGAAGGCTGCAGATCAGATGTCCTGACTCACTCGAGCCTGAAGGAACTGAGAAGCCTGCTATGAGCACAAAATCTTTATAGCCGCGTTGAAGTCGCCTTGACCTTGGTTTTTTCCTTGGTCTTTGCTGTCTGTAGAACCTGCTTCTAACGGAAGAAAATCCCTCGAAATTTGTTGTGAGCGACGCGTTCCTCACGCAACCCTTGATATTAGCAATGCGTGTAACTGTCAACCTTGGTAAGCCCTTGTTTGTCCATAATCTTGAAGTTGCAAACGGAGAAAACGGAGAGCCTGACAAAGAACATGAAGATGTAATGCTCGTCATTTGAGCACATTGAAAGTATCTTCGTAATCCTCTTACCATGTAGATTCCGAATCCGTAAGTTAACAAAGCAACTGATAAGAAATTGGTAGACATTGTGTTAGAGTGAGGATCTTGGATAGGATAGGAAGTGCTTTGGTAGAGTTGGTAGCGGAAGTCTTGTAAGAACTCAGACCATAGTGAATGTAAATGACCAAGTTTATTAAGAGATGGAATACAAGGAATATAAATAGTCCTAGTCTAGCCACGTACTCTAAGGGGTACATTCCCTTATTATAACTATTTTACAGGCATTTCTACAGTGACTCTGACTATTGCACTACCTTCTTGTTACCGAGTCGCTGCATGTAACCTGTACGGTTACGCCTGTTGCCATTCCTCGATGGTAAGTCAAGCGTCGGTCCAGACGGTCAACAGTCGCGACACTTGACTCTTGTGACTGTTGACCTTCCTGCCCTTGATACGGGCTGATCCGATACTACGGATGTTGCACCTACGGGAATGCTAAGTGTAATTCCCTTCACACTCCAACACTCCCCTTCATTCCTAGAGGTGCGCCACGTGGCTTTTGCGAGTCACTCCACACAGGTCCGAGCAGTACTGAAACTTATGACGTGGCAGTTTCTTCGTGAGGAAATCAGCTGCCATTTCGCCAGTTGGACAGTAGATGAGGTGGACTTTTCCTTTGTCGATTTCGTCCTTCACGAAGAAGTAACGCATGGCAATGTGTTTCATGCGGCTGACGAAGCCTGGCTTGTTCGCGATTTTGATCGCGCTCTAGTTGTCACAGAGTAACTTAAAGGACCCGTTCATCGCCATTTTTGTTTCCTGCAAGAGCTCCGTGAGGTAGAGTCCTTCGCGAACTGTTGCGCTTGCTGCGATGAATTCTGCTTCTGCTGACGAGAGGGCGATGAGGTCCTGTTTGTTGGAGTTCCAGGAGATGGTTCCTGCAGGCTCAAGTTTGAAAATGAACCCTGTGCGGGACCTCCTGCTGTCTGTGTCCCCAGCGTGGTCAGCATCCACGTAGCCGGTTAGTTGTAGTGGCGCTGTCAAGTTGGCCTTGTAGGTGAGGCCGACATCAGGCGTAGAGATAAAGTACTGTAAAGCGCGGCGCAGGTCTGCTAGGTTCTCCCCTTCATTTCGTCTCAGGTACTGGGCGGCATGTGACGGCGGCGAACAGTAGACATCCAAGCTGCTGCTGGTACAGGCGGTGATCGGCCGGTGAGAGCGGAGTAGTGTCGGGCTCATGGTTAGGCGGAGGAATGCGGAACGGGGTGGTGACACCGGCGGGAGCGATTCCGAACTTCTTAGCAAGGGTCTCAGCGTACTTTGCGGCAGAGAGATGAATGGTATCCGCAGTCTGAGTGATATTGAGGCCGAGGAATTGAGTGACCTCATGGTCGATCGTGCCCTTGAGCTTCTCCTGAATTTCGGGTTCGAAGCGATCGAGTACGTCCGTGTCGTCGCCGGTGTAGAGGAGATCGTTGACGTAGGCGACGAGCAAGATGAAGTGGCCACGAGATTCGAGGCGGTACATCCCCTGGTTGTGGGGAAGTTGCTGGAACCCGAGTTCGATGAGAACGCCGTGAAGATGCTGCTGCCACAAGCGTGGTGCCTGCTTGATCCCGTACAGGGACTTTTGGAGGAGACAAACAGCGTCTCCGTCTTCTTTGAACGCATGCGGCTGCTCGACGTAGATGACGGCGTCGAGGATTGCGTAGAGAAAAGCGTTGGAGACGTCGATCTTGCGAAGTGGACGCTGTTTTACGGCGGCGATGCAGAGGAGAATGCGCACTGAGGTGTGTCGGCCGACGGGTGCGAATGTCTGGTTGTAGTCCACAAATTGTGTCTGTTCGAATCCGCGAACCACCCAGCGCGCCTTGAATTTCTCGATCGATCTGTCCGCGAGGGTCTTTATGCGGAAGACCCACTTCCCTGTAAGGATCTTTCTCCCCTTTGCGTGGCGGCGTGGTACCTACTTCCAGGTACGCGACGTTGGAGTGCAGCGAATTCTACGGCCATGGCGGCTCTCCACTTCTCGGCATCGGGCCCGTTGAGAGCCTGGCAAACAGTGGTGGGCTCGACCAACTGCTGGTTACCCCGTAGGGCAACAGCGAGGCCGAGGATGCGAAGGCCCGTGAGGTTGGTTTCGGCTATGGTGGTTACTTTGACCACGTCGGCGTCGTTGCCAGGGATGTCGCAAAAGGTGTCGCGGGAGGAGTCGTGAGTGGAGTCTTCGTTCATGGGTGAGTGCATTTCTGCGCTTGCATAGTCGTGCTGTGCCTGTACTGCTTCATGAGGATTGATGTTTGTTGGGAAGTATGCAAGAGTGCCGAACTGCTCCGTAACGGGGATGAAGGGTGCCTCGTCTGCTGCTGGCTCGTCCGGTTCTTCTCCCGCCACGTCAATGTCGTCCTCGTCATTGGCGAAACGGTGCTGTCCTTGGAAGATGTTGTCTGGTGCGTTTTGTGCAGTGCGGTGCTGGCGGTACAGTGGCAGAGTTAGTCTTTCGTAGAAGAAGCAGTCACGTGAACACGTGAGCTGGTGGGTGGCGAAGTCCAGGATTTCCGGTTCGGGCAGTGTGAGGGCGGTACTGTACCATACACCCGAAGACTCGCAGCATGCGTGTATCAGGGTGTTTTCCGGTCCACTCCTTGAAGGGTGAGCTGCTGTTGGGCAGTGCCTTTGAGGAGAGCATGTTGTGCAGTCGAACTGCATGCGCCATTGCGAAGGGCCAATACTTGGTTGGCACAGCCGACTGCTTCATGAGGGCTCGCATTTTTGTCGCGAGGCTCCTGTTGGTTCTTTCCGCCAATCCCTGCTGCTCGTGGGCGTAGGGCAGGGAGACCATCCTCTTGATCCCCTTCTGCTTGCATAGGGTTTTGAAGTCGTCCGACATGTATTCCAGAGCTCTGTCTGTCTGGAACGCCTTCAACTTGTAGCCGTCGCTTTGGTTTTCTGCCATGGCGAGCCAGACTTCGAAGTAGTAGTAGGCGAGGTAGTGGTCCTTGACGTTCACGGCCCAGACGAAGCGTGTGCCAGCGTCGATGAAGGTAAGGGTGTACTGCTCCCCTCCAACTCCTTTCGCCATGAGAACCAAGAAGTCGCTGTAAACCTTCTCCCGTGGTTTGTATCGTTCGGCTTCGGGAATCTTTTCGGCGAAGGGCGTGTGGCGGAG